GATGTTTTTACTTGTACTGTAATTTGCTGGTCTGGTCTGATCTGGTTTGGTCTGAACTGGTCTGGTCTGGTCTGGTAAGGTCTGGTTTCTTTGTATTTTTATAACTATCCAAGTCTGGTCTGGTCTGATCTGAACTGATCTGGTCTGGACTGGTCTGGGGCAAATTACAGTCCAAGTAAAAACATCCTAAAACGGCACAATTATTTAGACAATAATTAAATGAGGTAATTCGAATATATTTTGATTAACGCCCAAAAAGGAAAATATGAACCATTTTACGAGACGGAGGGAGTAACAATAATGTAACATTTAGGTGGTTACACTTTATCCTTGCTTTATTCCCACAACCTCACTTTTCTAAGTAATCGTGTCACTCTTTTTTACCTCAATGTTGGAGGGACGGAGATAAAAAAAAAAACTCAAAATCTAAATCAACTTAAAGATTTACAATTGGAGTTTTGCCCCATTGGATGCTTTTCAATTGAATGTTTGAAGGAACCTCTATGCATTGGTTAGCGATGGGACCTCAAAAAATAGTGAGATGGTCCTAATTGTGACAGTGTTTTCTTGAGCTGGGAGCAATAATTCCAACTAACAATAGAGTCCTTGGTTTCATGTCTAAAAAACTTCTTAGGTTCAGCCACTGCTAATTTCTTTTTCCTTTGCTTTACATATATCTTCTGCGGTCTTTATAAACTTCTTAGTCAAGTCATCGATCTGAAAGCACGGCCAAAAAATACATATTGGCATCAGTAACATGCTTTATGTTTTGTGACAACATAAACCATGTCATCAATGACAACCCAGCATTTCGACTAACCCAACTGATACACTAGTACGGTAAAGTATAAATAATATTGGAAGTGACTTACTTCCTTTTCCAATCTTTTTGCATCATCTGCTGAGAAAGTTGAGCTTGACTTGTCTTTGTCCTTCTTCTTGGGTGTGTATTTCTTTAACGTGTCCAGTGCCTAAAAGGGGGCACAAAGAGCTTAGGAGTTTTCGAGAAAAAATGTGAAGCAGATAATTATACATTCTTTTTGAAAATTGTCAAATACGGAGTAACAAACTAGAAAGATTTGAGAGGAAATCAATTAGCATTGCTTAAAAGGCATACCTTCTGGCGAGCTCTTCTTACACTTTGTTTAACATCTTCGGATGATTTAGCTACTACCTTGCACACAGCCTGGGGAAAATATCAGGAATAAGCAGAGGTACAAGAACATTAAGTCCAATGAGAAAATGAGATCAAAAGAAAAAAAGTTGATTGACATCTACCTGCATATGTTCTTTTGTCAGCCTGATAATTCAAGAAAGAGAAAGAGAACACCAAGCTAAATGTTAGGAAAATAATATAGTAATATGTCAAAAAAATAGTGCAAAGAACAACAATATCAGTTCATTTACTTGAATGAATATGTTCATTCCTACTAATAAAAGAATGTCGATTAGAAAAAGCATAATATCTTTCATGCATCATTCAAAGATTGGAATTATGTAGACTCAATCTTGATCATCACCGCCCTAACCCTATCTGGCTGATTGATTGTCTACAAATAATTAACATTAAAATTTACTATGCCAATTCTAAGACTTTTTTCAAATATTATCAAACGTCATTTTTATTTGAGATAGTTACTATTGTCATGTTAATTACAAGTTTGATACTGTAATATCATCAAACATATCATAAAACATAAATGTAGACTCGATTTGGCGAATAACCAAAAAAAGTAGTTTAGACTTTAGAGAGATGTACTTACGGAGGTATAGGAACAAGTAACCTCTCATTCTCCACCTTGGGATTTAATCCCAATGGAGAAGAAATGATAGCTTTCTCCAAATCTTTTAAGGTCTGCAAAAGACCAATAACCATTCGATGTATCACAATGCCATGAAGTTTCATATGAAAAGATTCAACTTGAAATCCATATCACGGAAAATCCAAAGGAAATAGAAATAGAAATATATCACAATAGGTTGCAAAATACGGAGTATTACATTTGGATCATAAGGAGTAACAGACAGAGTTTTTGCATCCAAGGCTGAAACTGCAGCCATCCTACTAAAAGGCGTTGTTACACCTCCACTTTCCACTACAATATGATCAAGCATTCCTGCAAGTTCAAATGAAAATATAGACAATAGAGATTAAGAGAAAACATTTCTACAAGTTAACAACACCAGAAAAAAATTTAAAAAAAAAAAGTTAACAACACCAGAAATTGTGTTTGTACCAATTGATGCTCGTCCAGTTCGCAATTTGGTCAATTCTCGAGACAATGCCTCTATTGCTGCCTCCATCTGTGAGATCGCAGTAGCCTTAATTGATGGACCAACATTAATAAATCCTGCAGTGCTCTCATCAATGTTTATCTCTTCCTCTAGAATTGCAGAAAAGAACAACAGAAAACTGTGAATGCCATTCGCACAAATAACTATGATCTCGTTAGGTGATGTAGTTAAATTCCATGGTAGCAAAATAAAGAAATGATAAGAAGACTCAGTACTCAAAGTATTTCTTCCTTTGGCGAAGCCTCTTGAGATTCCGAGTAGATGAGCCATTGCTGGAAAGTAAGGGATGACGCCTGAGGTGGCAGAGCAGCGGAGGAGGTCAGGAGAAGTGCCATCAACCACGGAAAAGAGCTGGCGTGTCTGAGAAGTTGTGGAACGGAAGATGATTGATACTGTACGATAGGACAATAGTGCCCGTCTCATATACATTGCCATCGTCGGAACTATTTTTCTTCGCGGCGAACTGTTTTTTAGGGTTTTGCAAAAAACTTTCTATTATCAGGACCGGTCCAGTCACAAAGAATAGAACACCATATATAAAAATCAACAATTAAAAATATGAACTAAACCCTTCTCACAAGTATGTTTGGTTTTAACACCAACATTTTAACAAAGAGTGTCAACAATATAATAGATGTGAGTAAGCTGATTGTGAAATGTGAACCTTTGTGAACATTTCCCGCTCACAAGTATGTTTGATTTTACCTAACAAAAATCAACAAATTCTAACACCAACACTCAATAGATATCAATAGACAATTAAAAATATTAACTAAACATTTATTAACACTCAACAGAAAAAATATCTACTTATTATTAGTCCACTATTCATATTCATTGATAAACATTAAGCAAATATGAATGAAATCAATTAATACATTAATCATATATTCATACTAATCAATTAATCAATAAAAAAGGTATAAGACTGTGAAATAATGGCCGGAGGATAGGAGGTATCCAGGTCGGGAGGAGTACCTGAAGCCTGAGACCCCGAGTGGATGGGCGCTGCTGTGCTGCAGCTGGATGCCTGGACTGAGAAGCCGTCAAGCTGAGATTCCGATTTCCGACCAGTGCGAGAGGGATCAGGGTGGCAAACTGCCAAGCGTCGGCGGTAGCCGGTAGGCGGTCCGCGGTCCGCGAGTCGGGGCGGTCGGCGTTCCTAATGCTTCTTCCTTGGCGAGTTCTAGCCGTCGATGTCGAAGTCTCCGTCTCCGTATTATTTACTCAGCTTTTTGTTTTGGGCCTTTGGGCCGGTTGGGCTGGACGAAATTATAAAATTAAAGCAGAAAAATCAGCTTATAAAACAATAGATATGCTGGACGAAAGAATAATACAATATGGTTTCACAAGTAAACTTTTAAAAAATTCAAGCTCATAATTTTTAATTCCTTAATTTCCATGCAAGTCAGGTCTAATAAAGTTTACTTAGGATGTTTTTACTTGGCCTGTAATTTGCTAGTCTAATCTGATCTGATTTGTCTAAGTCTAGTCTGGTCTAGTATGTTTAAATCTGGTCTGTTTAAATCTCGTCTGATAAACGTGTGGTATTTGTGTATTTTTAAAACTACGGAAGTCAAGTCTAGTCTGGTCTGATCTTGTCTGTTTATGTGGTATGTCAGGTCTGGTCTGGTCTGATCTGGTTTGTTAAAGTTTGTTCTGGTCTGGGACTGAAAATGGTCCAAATTAAACATCCTTATCCGCCAAGTCTAATATAGAGAACCATATAACTCCATTGTATAACTCCATTATAGAAGAAAATTAAGGGAGTATAATATACTCCCTCCGTCCCCCTAACTTTGTCTCGCTTTACCTTTTCCGTTTGTCCCATTAAGTTTGTCACATATCATATTTGGTAATTTTTGGGTGGTTACAACTCATTCTTACTTTATTCACACTTTATTAATTCAATATCATTCACACATTTTCACTTTTTTTTAAAAGTTGTGTCATACTCCTTTATTCCAAATATAGTGGGACGGAGGTAGTATGAGTTTCAATTGTAGATGTTATTTACTATGGGTGCTTGTCTAAAACACTCATAATAACCGAGTTATTATAAACTTATAGGAATGAATTCACATTTTATGTCTGCCTACCCAATTTATTCTCTCAAGCATGAACTAGCTACATAGTAATATTGAAGATCACATAACATATTTTCCTATACGTTACATATCTTATTTTTAAGGATAATATAAGGAAACAGCTTACTCTTCAATGATTTTCTGAAGATTTTAAAAAGTGGATGATCAATGACCAACTTTAAAGTGCAGTTCACAGAATACAATATTCCTTGATCCTTCTATCCTTAAATTGTTTGTATCTAAGTATAAAAAAAAAAATTGTCGAAGTAAGATGCACATTACGCCTACATTCTTATCTCCTCAATTTAAAGTAATTTTTTATTGGTATCTTGAAATTGCTAAGTAGATCCTATCGATTTTTAAGATTCTGTTCAGAATTCACTTACAAAAGGTTAAGGGATCGGACAGGTACGTTTTTGTCAAAAATTAAAAATAAAAAATAAAAAAACTGACCGCGTTGACCGGGAACAGGTGTGTGAAAACTAATGGGAAAAGGTACTCCATTAGAAGTCCTGGCATGTGTATATATAATGAGAGAGTTCAAGATACAAAAGGAAACAAATATTTCTAAATATATTTTAGGTAACAAATAACCTAAAATATATTCTATTAGACCCTCTCAAACTGTGCGGGACATACAACGCGCAGGTTGTCTTTTAAAAAATGAAATTGCTGACTAGAGAGACTTTTAGTAAAAATGTCAGCCAACTGCAACTGTGTAGGAATATACTTCACGATCAAATCGCCATGCGCAACACGTTCCCTGACAAAATGATAGTCAATCTGAATATGTTTGCTGCGAGCATGCTGAACAGGATTAGCAGTCAAGTAGGAAGCAGAAATGTTGTCACAAAATAACTGAACAGGAGCCTTGACAGGAAAACCAAGCTCAAATAAAATGGAACAATTGAACAAATATGCAAGGTATCCTGTACTGTGTAAGCAACAGCTCTGTATTCGGCCTATGTAGAAGATTTGGAAACTGTAGGTTGTTTCTTGGAGTTCCAGGAGACCAAGTTCGGCCCTAAAAAGACAGCAAAACCAGTCGTCGAACGGGATGAATCTGGACATCCAGCCCAATCAGCATCAAAATAGGCAATTACACAAGTCACATGTGCATTAGGGCTCAGCCATAAACCATGATCCAAAGTCCCTCGTAAACACCTGAAAATTGTCTTGACTGCAAAAAGATGAGTAGTACGAGGAGCATGCATAAACTGAGACACTAAATGTACAGCATAGGTAATATCAGGTCGTGTCAAAGTTAAATATTGTAACGCACCAACCATAATACGATACTCAGTGGCATCTGCAAGGAGTTCGTCATCCGTCATCAGTGAGGGAAAGAGAGGTGTGGGTAGCCAGAGGTGTGTGAACAGGCTTGACTGTATGTAAGTGGAAACGAGAAAGAAGATCACACACATATTTGTGTTGAGAGAGAAACACACCTTTATCAGAACGTTTAGCCTGGACTCCAAGAAAGTAATGAAGGTCACCAAGATCCTTCATAGCAAAATGTTGAGCAACAAGATGAATAAGCGAAGAGACAAGAGAGGGTGAATTGCCAGTAATAATAATATCATCCACATATAATAATAAATAAATGACACAACTATTCTGACGGTATATAAACAATGAATTATCCGACTTACTGCATGTGAAATTATGAGACAATAAAAAACTACTGAAACGATGGAACCATGCCCGCGGGACCTGCTTGAGCCCGTAAAGAGCTTTCCGCAATCTACACAAATGATTAGGAAACAAAAGATGAGTAAAACCCCGCGGTTGACGCATATAAACCTCCTCAGTAAGATGACCATGTAAAAAGGCATTCTTAACATCCAGGTGACGAATAACCCACCCAAAAGAAATAACTAGAGAAAGTACAACTCGATCAGAGGTGGGTTTAATAACTGGACTGAAAGTTTCTGAAAAATCTACACCAGTCTGCTGACTAAAGCCCTGAGCAACTAAACGAGCTTTATGACGCTCAATAGACCCATCAGAATTGTATTTCGTCTTATAAATCCACTTAGAGCCCACAACATTTATAATGCTATCAAACGGGACTAATTCCCAAGTATTATTAGAAATAAGAGCATTAAATTCCTCTGCACCCATCGCTTCACGCCATTTAAGATGTTTAAAGCAATTGTATTTAAGTTAAAAATAGTTTTTGGTTTAAAAATGCCCGACTTAGCCCGGATTTGCATGTGGGTGAAAATTATGTGTGGGAGATGAAGGTGGCTGGGGCGAGGGTGACGGTGTGAGATGGTGCACAACGTGGTCTGGAGGAGAGGTATGGTCTGGTTGTTGGGAAGTGTGGTCTGGGGAAGTATGTGGTGGAGTATAGTTAGGAAAGGCCTGGGACGAGGGAATTGTGTCAGGCGTGGGAGTTGAGGTACGGAAAAATGAAGGCGGACGGAGTGTGAGGTTGGTAGAGGTCGTGGTAGTAAAAGGGAAATCAGTGAGCGTAGAGGAAGATGTGGGGGCAGACGTAGAAGAAGACAGAGTGGTGAATGGAAAAATATTTATATGAAAGCGTACATGCCGACTAATAAACACCTTACCAGATTTGAGCTCCAAACAACGATAACCTTTAAAGCCAGATGCATAGCCAATAAAAACACACTGAATAGAACGAGGAGAAAGTTTATTTGAAGAAGAGGCAGAGAAATTAGGATAACATGCACACCTAAAAACACGTAATAAATTATAGTCATGTGATTTTTGAAAAAAAAAATCGTAGGGAGAGAGACCATAAAGAGTGGGAGAGGGAAGTCTGTTCACAATGTAGACGGCCGTAAAAATGGCATCAACCCAAAAAGTGCTAGGAATAGAGGCAGTAATAAGCATAGTCCTAGTTAATTCAAGTAGATGCCGATTTTTACGTTCAGCAACACCATTTTGTTGAGGAGTGTAGGGACAAGATTTTTGAAAATAAATCCCATTTTCAGAAGAAAAAAAAATTATTGCATTTGAAAATTAACAAACTCACCCCCTCTATCAGTTTGAAAAACTTTAATTGTAGAACTAAATAAATTTTCGACTAGTGCCTTAAAGACCTGAAAGTGACTAAACACTTCATCCTTGGTATGCATGGGATATAACCAGGTAAAGCGAGAAAAATCATCAATAAAACAGACATAATATTTAAAACCTAGATTTGATAAAATAGGAAACTGACATACATCAAAATGAATCAATTGCAAAGGAGATGATGAATTATGACTAGCATTAGAAAAAAGGTAAGCGTTGAGATTTGCCCAATCTGATACCATGTGAAAACTAATGGGAAAAGGTACTCCATTAGGAGTCCTGGCATGCGTATATATAATGAGAACAAACTAGACCAATCCAGACTAGAAATTACAGTCAAATTAAACAAACCAGAACAAACTAGACCAATCCAGACTAGAAATTACAGTCAAATTTTAACATAACATACCAAACAAACTGGACTTGAACATCTCCGACCAGACATTGATAATCATAAAATACACTATTATACCGGACCAGACTTAAACCAGTAAATTTTAGTCATAATAAGCATGTCCTAATTGTAACCTGAAGAGGGAACTTATTTCAGCTAATTACTTTTTTCAATAAAAAAAAGTTGCTATGGGTATTTAAAAAAAAACTAAAGAGAAATAAATCAAATCGGTTTCTTACAAACTTGAGCGAGCTCAAATTGAAGCTTAAGTTAACATGAAAAGCAAACTGTAGGTCTGAAACAAGGCAATAGATATAGAAATATAAGATTTTAAGACTGTTCCTTTTAAGAGACTAAATATCATGTGTACATATCAGAGTCAAGAAGATAATCTCTAGTACGCCCAGTCCCAGAAAAGTCACTCTTTTCCTTATCAGCGCTGGTATGATCCATTCCTGGTAAATAATTCTTGAGCAGATGAGATTTCACAGCCAATGTCACAGGACCACCAGTTTCTGGCCAGGAAACCCACACTGTTCCTCTTATTTTATCAATCTCGCAGCGTCCCAATAGTGCAGCTGCGAGCCCGTCCACCACACTTCCTGATGGGAAATAGTCTAAACCCTTGACCAACTCTGAATCTTTTCTCTCCAATGAAGACTCTAGCTTGAACATAAGTGTTTCGTCCGGTGGAAGTTTACCTCTAAAGTTACGACTCTGAATCGTATCCAAAACTAAAACCCGGTCTGGTTTGATCTTTTGCCCAACAAGCAGCTTTGCCACTGCATGAGATCTCTCTGCATTGATAGGACATTGGACAGAAGCTACCAAGACCAATTTATCAGCATGATGTAAAGCATATATGTTGCAGGATTTATCCTTGAGAGAGGGCACGATTGAGTTTCCGGATAATAGTGTCTCTGGTAGGATAAGTGTTCCCACTAAGGTTTTGGAAGAGACATGGTGAAAGAAGTGAGTGGAGGGGAAAGACATGGCAATTATCAGTAGTGAAGGGTGAGAGTATTTCTCAGGGTTAGGTGTGGCAAACATGAGGAACGGAGATGGAAGAGGGGGTGAACGAGGTGCAAAATTGTTTAGATCTTCCAAGAAGAATCTAGAAGGTGGGGGTATTTCGGTCAAGATGTCTTCCATGTTCCAAAAAACAATACTGCCTGCATAAATCCAAGAAAATATACTCTCTCAAGCATCGAATCTATTATGTAGTATGGAGTATAGTATAATATAATAGCAGAAGGTTTATTCCATAGGAAGATGCCACCACAACAGGTGCAGGGTAAGACTATGGATATTCGATCGGAATAAATATCCAAGGAATCATCCACATAAATTGCATTTGTACAAGACTGTGTTTCTGATTAATCTTGGAGACAAAAACAGTTAATATTGCAGTGTCCGAGAAATTACTATATTCCATGCATTTTGTTTCTCAATGCAACCTTTTATTTAATATTTATCTTATTAAAGAGTATAGTGATGAAATCATCTGGAAAATCACAAAACATAAAAAGTTTGCTCCAATGATTTGTCCAGGTCCTCCAGGAATAAGGATTAAGGAACATTAGATCCATAACAGGACTAATAAATGTATAGATGAATCAAATTTCCGTTTCCAATAAATATAGGAGAAATACAACAGTTGATTTTTGGTAGCCCAACACATTTCTAGATGGTAATGGACAGGCAGTTAGGCACCAATGCAAAGTACCATATAAAATAAGCCTCAAGTGGTCATGAGAGATGGAAAGCCTGGAACTCAACCAAAAATGCAGGTTTCCTGAATTGTAGGAGGTACGCTCATATAAGTCCTATCAAAATTTTTTGAGATAGTTGTGATGGTAGCTTTTGGGGTCACAACCATAGTGGTGGCAACTTTACTATCAAATATATCTCTTATATATTTCGTAAAATGGTGTCAAGTTGAAAATTAAAAGTAAATGAATTTGTTTAGTGTGTTCAATTGAAAAAAGACGAGTTCATTAAAATCTCCAACAAATGAGAGAGAAAATGTGAGGTGGGCTTTTGAATTACAAAAACAAAAAAAACTGACGTTCTAAAGGCTTTCTGCTAGCCTAAGAGAATAAATAGTCAACAAAAGTAATTCATGGCATGTAAAGACATGCATTTAAGCCTCTTTTGTACTCTTATGTTTTGTAAACTTTTGGAGGACCTCCTCAATGTATTTTATTTTATGTATAAAATGAGGAACAACGAAAAATATCTTAATGCTAGCCAAACCGAAGAACACGTCGATGAAAATTGAACTCCAAAGGTTCTGCAGGTGTTGTACATATACCTGGATACGCAAAATGGCTTTTAACTTAGAGCAAAAGATTGATGTAAATTTTGAATATATAGTATTCTAAAAACAAATTTGTGACTAAAAATAAAAAAATACTCCGTACAATACCAAATTAAAACAAAGAAGTACAATATTTTAAAACCATTTTAAAAAGAACACCAATTTATCATATCTTTGAATTGTAAATCTACTGTTAACAAATATTTTTTAAAAATAAAAGTAATCGTTAAAATAGTCTTTAAATGCATGGATCAAATAACAAATAAAACTAAAAGATAGTGTTAAATACTCCGTATTTCAGAATTTCCGGGTAACCCAGAGGTATCCACAGCAAATTTTCAATTGTCATGGGTTGCAAACAGAATAGCAAAGTTGTGAATTATCACACATTTTGTATATAACTTTAGATTCATTTTTGTGGGTGTACCACGTACAACCATTTTACGCATAAAAGTACTACTTTAATTCATATACTTATACTCCATACAATATTTTTTGTGTAATCCGGCCTATGTATTTGCTGTAACATTCCCATACTCAGTGGCTGAACCAGAACAAAAATTAAGGAGGGCCTAAAATTAAGTTGAGTCGACACGAGGATGTTTTTCACTATTACCTTCTTCGTTATCTCGTCTAGAAGACCCAATGCCTCGTGTTACAAATTGCAAAATACACTTTAACAAGTTAAAAAAGTTTTCAACTTTAAACTCTTAAAGCAATTAATCAATTGAAATTTAAAGCAACTAAGCAATGAAAGTAATTAATCAATAAAATTGAAAAAACAATTTCAACCTTATACCAATTCAAGCAATTAGTCTCTTAAACTATACAAAAATTAAAGTAATTAATCAATAAACTTGCAAAAGAATTTAAACTTTAAAGCAATAAATTAGTTCAATTTTAAATTAAATAAGTAATAAAAGCAAATAACCAATTAAAGTTATAAAAACGATTTCAACTTACTTACCAAACGGCAAACGCAGGACTCGAGACGCGAGGTCGCGACTCGCGAGGGACTGACTTCGGCTTTCAGAGAGTGCGATGGACTGACGGAGCGTGGAGAAGCGAGGGCGGCGCCTGCGACTGGAGAGGCGGGAGTATTAAACGCGAGGGCGCCGTGAGAAAGCCAGAGAGGAACGACAAATCGAGGAGCCGGAAGGTCGAGGATATCAGATTTGGGATAAGGTAAATGAAGCAGGGATACTTGACTTGTGCCGTATGTGATACTCTAGATACTTTCCATTTCTTTTAGTAAATATTATAAAATATAAGGATATATTTATAAATATTTTTTAATATATGTACACAAGTTTTTCCATATGCACATGTTTTTTTTAATATAATTTGTTTAGTAACCAAATAATAAAATCACTCTACATGTTCAAATTTAGATATTATTTCATATTAGTACATAATTAAACATAAAATGTACGGAGTAATACATTTATAGCAATGCATTGCGTTACGAAATGTAACAAGTGTTGCCGCTGAGAAATACCACAAAAATTCACTATAAAAAATTATTTTCCACCACAGAATCTTTTGAAAAAGAAAAAAAATGGAATCCGAGGTTTCCGAAACGTAGTGAAAGAGGTTTCCAAATTTTTCTTAATTACGGAAACGGCCCAGAAATGGGAATTTGAAGTTTCCGAGTTTCCGAAACGCTTCCGAGTTTCCGAAACGTGGAAACGTGAGTCATGGAGAGTTTCCGTGCTTCCTAATTATCTTGACTTGTTTCCTGACGGATATTCGTATCAATTTAAAAAAAAAAAAAACTCCCAAAACAAAACTTTTTAAAAAAGCATTCAAAATCTACAATAAAATTCTTAAGAAATGAAAAGCTAAAAATAATGTATACCTTGCTTTTATGTGGTAGACAACTATATTCCAAATTCACCCATCCTCATATCCATAATTCTTATTATCCTTGAAAATTGATATCTCCAACAGAAATATGTATTAGAACTTTTAAAATATTATTTTCTATCTTCATTATTCTAGAACTTTGAATACTTGCACTTTTAATTTCAAAACTGTAGTTGTTTAACTTATTTTTTCATTTTAAAATTAATGACTTATTGACGATATTTATATTTTGAGGTGCACTAGTGTATATGAGATAAAATGTGAACTTATTTCTAAGTATCTCGAAAATGTAAAATGTTCAATGTCATGAATGAGTAGACATCAGAGGATAATATATGTTTATTTTTATATAAAAATTAATTTTTTTAATATTATAAATACACCCTTGTAACTTTTAACATTTATAAATACGCCCTCATAGCTTTTAATATTTATAAATATGGCCCCGTATCTGTATCCTACTTTTTTTGTTTTGTCGTATCCCCATAACCGTTTCCGCGCTTCCGCGTTTCCGCGTACCCGTATCGGTGCTACATAGAGTACAAATATACCCCTGTAGTATGTGTGTGAGAACAAATATACTCAAGTTCTATTTTTCGGAACAAATATACTTTTGAAGTATATGTGGAAGTGCATATATAGCCCCGAACTTTTTAAAAGTTGCAAAAATACCCCTCAAGTTCTCATAAACGAGCAAATATACCCTTATTGACATTAAATTGATAAAATAAATTTCAAAAGTAAATCTTTGTTTTAAATTTCGACTTTATAATTTATTTTTGATGTTTTTTGAAATTTATTTTTATCTTTTTAAAGTCAATAAGTTCAAATTTTATCTTTTATAAAAATATGAGGGTTATTTTTGTACTTTTTAAAAGTGCAAGGGCATAAATGTACTACAGCATATGCTTCAAGGGTATATTTATTCTGAAAAATAGAACATGGGTATATTTGTTCTCACATTCATACTACAAGGTATATACTCCCTCCGTTTCTAAAAGAAACTCACACTTCCCTTTTTGGGATGTTTCAAAAACAAAGTCACACTTCCTTTATTTTCTTATTTGGCAAAGAAATCTACATCCAAATAGTGTCAAACAGTGCGAAACAGTGTCCTAACAGTGCCAAACAGTGTCTAAACAGTGTTTTCTACAGTAAAGTTAATTTATTTCCTTAATAATCGTGAAGTCAAACTGTGACTTTCTTTTGGAAATGGAGGGAGTATGTATCTTTTCCCTATCAGATTTATCTACAAACGACGTCATTTCTTAATTTTCCTGTGCATTTAATTGAACGACATCCGTTTAGCCGATTGAGTTAGCATGTTTTTACTTGGACTCTAATCTGTCCCGGATCAGATCAAACTAGACCAAACCAGACCAGACCAGACTTGGATAGTTATAAAAATTCAAAGAAACCAATCATTATCAGACCAGATCAGACCAGACCAGACTAGCAAATTCAGTCCAAGTAAAATCATCCTTAATTAAAAAAGAAAAATTCTTTATGTACACCTTGGGTGTAACCATGGAATACACCCTATAGCACCCATATTTTTTATTGGGAAATTTTTCAGGATATGACTAAAACATATTGAGTTTCCCTAAATATGACTAGTTATGCTTTTAGACATGTATATGACTGAAAAGCAAAAATAAAAAGAGAAATTTGTTCATATTAAATGTTTAATGACTAAAATACCCTTATTAAAAATGTGCAGTTTACACTATTTTCGTTCAATTAAAAATACTGCACTTGTTGCACGACTTTAATGCACGACATTAATATACATCCGGCAACATGTCACTCTGTGATTACGCCCATATTAGTTCTCTTCTCACCCAGTATAGGAATTTTTTCATAGATCTTTTATTTTGTCATTTTTAGTATTTTACGTCTAATTAAATGTATTGCATTTCATGTTGGTGCTATTGTTTTACATTATTGCACTACAGGTCATTACCACTGCACTTCCGTCAACGTTATGACCCGATCTATTGTCTTTGATTCACTGCGTAACGCACTTTGTAAATGCATTCATTCATTGCTCATGTACACATTATTTATTGTCTTGTTCACTGGCCATGTTCATCTATGTTCGCTGTCCATATTTAATTAGTGGACACAAACCCTAACTTCAATCTAGATCCTAATTTCAAAAATAGAAAAAGAAGAATGAGAATTGAGGCGGTTGAGCGGCGGCAGCGAGTTGGAATATAACCGTGGGGGTAGATGGTGGCGGCGACGATAGAGATGGAGGTGCGTGACACATCAAATAAGGGAGAACCAATAGAGTGGACAAGATCATCCTTAACGTTGGTGGGTGCATTTGGGGTGAAGAAAGCAGGGAATTTTGAGCGGAGCATATCAGAAGGTTTGGGGTGAAATGGAAATATTTGAAACAAAGATACAAAATTAATGGGTGCATCTCAATCAACAAAATTGATAAATCAGTGTGTGTCAATCAACAAATCAGTATGTTTGTCCCTCAAAATTAATTAATTATTTATTTATTTAATTAATCTAAAGGGTATGTTTGGAATGAAAGATGAAACGAAAAACTAGTAACATTATATGAACTTTCGCCATAAGAAAAAATGTATGTACACGGACACTGGTTTGCTTTCGGAATATGTACACAGATAAAAAAATGTTAAAAAAGTCAAGGTAAGATTGCACCAAAACAAATGTCTGTGTACACATACAACTAATGTCTGCATACACCGACATTGGTTTCCGTGCAACCACCCTGACAGATCTGCAAAGCAATTTTTTCACACTGAAACTTTTTTGTCTACACAGACAACTAATGTCTGTGTACACCGACATTGGTTTGCGTGCAACCAACTTGGAAAATCAGCAAACCAATTTTTTTCGCACCGACAGTTTTATCGAAAGTGTTCGTATTTGTACTTTTTTGTCTGTGCGAATGTCAAATAACGAGGGCGTAACCACAGGGTGTACACCAAGAATTGTTGTTAAAAAAATTGGTTGTGCATTTCTTCGTTTCGCGCTAGCTCGCTGCATCTCACATGGCATGTTTCAGGGAAGAAGATGAAGCTGCTTGGGAGGGGCGCCAATCTAATACCTAATACTAATACCAAAAAAAACTCCAACAAAGGGGCCGGCACCGCTCACCCCTGATTCCGCCCCTGCCCATAGTGACTTCTTCATGACACGTAATTTACGCGTAAAAGTAAAAGTACTACTTTAATTCATAAACTTATACTCCGTACAATATTTTTTGTGTAATCCAGTTGTATTCGCTGTAACATTCCCATATTGACTCCTTCATGAGCAGGTAATTACATGTACATTATAATTCCCTCTGGTTCACATTACTGAAGTGCAACGTAATCAAAGATAGAATGTTAACCTTCATTAATGTTAACGTCCAGTAATGAAGTGCAACATAATCAAAGATATTTTTAGTCTAAATCTATTACTACCTACTCCGTAATATATAAAAAGTAAAAAAAAAAAAACTAGATAGTGTTCCCACCTAAAGAGCACCATAGGAATAAATACACCTTACCGTAGAGATCACAAAAATATGAATAATAATACTCCGTAATAATGTAAAAGCCTCATTCTGTGTGATGTGATATTACACAACTACTTCTTGAGCTAAGGGTTAAGCTATGATATGATGATTTCACATCCTCATAAATGCAAAGACATAAAAACATCATAGACTTCCCTATAAATGGTAGAAATGTTTTGCCAAATGAGAACCACACGAGAACCCTTGGAATTCAATAAAAGACTACGAAATTAACGAATTTAGTGTTCGTAAAAGCTTACATCCTTTGTCAAGGAGGAAATACCTTTGAATTAGTTCTTAAAACCTTCAAGAATGTTGATATAAAATTGTGAAAAAATAAAAAACATAGCAACTGTTGTACACGGTGTTAGATGATCCATTTCTCTGTGGAATTTCATTTCTACATCTGGCTTTAGTTTATCGAATGCACATATACATATCTACTTCTTCTATAAGCATGAATATTGTTTGAGGTATTGTTGAGGTTTAGTCTCGTAGATCCGAAAGCCCAACACACGCTTTGGATATTAAGGATGTAGGTTTGAGTCTAAAAGGTGTATGAAATCTAAAACAGTGGATTAAGATTGAACTCAGAAGTTAACTTGTATTACGTAATTCTGCTATTACAAAAAGACTATCCGAACGGTATGTCGGACTAAAGTCAAATACAAGAATAAGAGAGATGATTCTATTGCTAAGCTCTGAGTATCAAAATGCTTAACCATTTACAATGTATTCCATGCATGTATTTATACTAAGAGGGGCCCCTCTTAGTGAGATGGACATGTGGCCGAACCCGGCAGGCTGTTACCTCTTCCACGAGTGCACCCAT